CTTTGAGTGGCCCGTTGAGTGCCCTGCCAGTGACCTGGACCTGGCTGGCAGGTGTAACGTCTTGGCAGCACTTTCAAGGCAGACACTGAACCAGGGCTACCTCCTCCCTGCCCGTGCACCTTGCCCCCCTACCCTGTCTGCTCCTCCGTCTCCTTCTAATATGCAGGTCTGGTCAGCCCTGCCTCAGTGGTCAGCTCCTTTTCCTTGACTTCCTTTCTCCTGGTGTACTGAGCCCTACTCCTCCGCTGCCCCTGTCCCCAGCAACACCGCATTCCTCCCGGCTCCTCAATGCCATGCTTCTGACTTTTGGCCTTTGCATACCTACGTTCTCTGCTGTGACCCTGTCCCTTCCTTTGCTCTGTCCCATTCACGGGATCCTGTGCTTCCCTTATCATGGCAAAGTCAGACCTGTGTCATGTGCTTGCTTGTTGTTCCTGGTCTGCCTTTTCTGTTAGATAGTAAGTTCACGAGCTGTGCTCTTACGTCCTTGCCCATCGGCGTCCACAGCGAGGTACAAAGTATGTGGCACGTGGTAGGCCCTAAACATATACAGTAAATCAACCTAAGTGCAGCTGGTGTATGTGCTCCTGATGTCTATTTTAATAGTCGAGAGACACTAGCAATTATTACTGTCGTGATTACTGTTTTGAGTGAACAGTGAATTTGCAAATGTGTACCTGCTATGAATGCTGTTGTGAATCTCACGCTGTAAGGGGCATATGTCTCAGGTGTTTAACTTCTGATGACATATTCTTTTTTTCCCCTTTTTTTCATTAGCATATTCATTGTTGCAAATCATACTTATTCTTTATGCCCCTTATCCGATCTCTCCCCTTCCCCCCTCTAATAATCATGATTTGTTTTCTTCGTCTGATAGACTGACTCACTTTTCCTCTGTTGGTCTGTTGCCCACATGATCTGTCCAGTACTGGGACAGGTGTGCTCAAGTCCCCCCCCCCCATTATTGTAAAGCAGACGCTTCTGTTACTCTGGAGTGTGCTTTGTGGAGAGAGGGGACCTTTTCTTTTTTTTTTTTTCTTTGCTGGTGCCTCTCCTTGTGTGGTGACATATTCTTGAGAAACACTCACACGTGCACCAGCAAACATGCTTCACTGAAGCATCATTAGAAATAGGGAAAAGCTGGAAACAACCCCAAAATCCATTAATAGGGGAAGAGATGCTAAAACTATTGGCATGGAGGGCCGGCCCGGTGGCGTGCTGGAGAGTGCGCTGCTTGGGAGCGCGGTGGCGCTCCCGCCGAGGGTTCGGATCCCATGTG